TTCATTTCTGAATGTATTTATACAGACCTATCCAAAATGGCATCTGGTGAATGAGGCATAAATAATTTTTAAATATCTGTGGGAATATAGCAAAAATCTTCTGAAGTGGTATATCTTTTATTCAAGACAACTGCTGAAACATAATTGGGAAGGAAAAGAAATGTTGGTTGCCCAGTACTGACTATTATCAAAAGCATTTTGGAATTTGGGTTTTGTTTTTTTACTTTTAGGAGAAATATTTAGGGCCAAACCACAAGAGACATGGAAAAAATTATTTTATTTGGTGGTGGATTTATATCCCACCTTTGATTCAGGAGTTCAAGCGAGAATGCATAGTGTTCTCTCCTATTTTTCCCTGCAATAAGAACTCTGGGTCACAGGTTGCGCTAAGGGAGTGGTTGGGCCAAAGTCACTTTTGACCTTCTCTAGCTGAGGGTAGATTAGAACTTCCGCTTTCTAAAATGAAACCCCATGGTTTTAGATTCAGTAAGGAGAGAGAGTGGTAAAGTAGGAAGTTATCAGTTAAAGATTAACAAAAACAAAATAGAAAAATATTGTTTCTATACACATGTCTTGCTTTTACCACATCCACTTTCCTCCTGAAACCTTCTTCAAGATGTATTGGTATCCCTTGATCTGAAAAAGGTTATGCAGAAGATACTGCACTATCTGAAGGAATGCTTACATGCCCCTCCAGTGCCACAGCCAATAATTTAAAAACTCCCTTTCCACCATTCAGATGCAAAAGTCTGCTTCTATCTTTCCCGTCTTCTAGGGTGGGGTGGTAATCTAAACAGGTTCCTTCATCATCCTGCACAGTCGGATGAGCTCTACCCATAATCCAGAACTAAAGCCCACTTTTAGGTCTATGGGTTTGCTTTGAATGTTGAACCCATGTTATGACTGATCTCACAAAGAATTTGTATTGAGAGACTTGCCTCTGGGCTGGATGGTGGGCATGGCCAATCTCATTGGCAAACTGATGAGGATACTCCCTGCTCTTTTTTCTAGCCTATCAATGCTCCAGGTCCCCTCTATTATACAATGTCATCTTGTGGGACCTAAGATTCATGCTTTCTCTGTCACTATGCAGCCCAGAGTCACTTTTGAAAATAAAATACATTCTTGAAGACCCCCCCCCTTTTTTGTTTTTGGTGCAGATGGATGTACTTCCAAAGTGCTGTGCTGCAGTTACCTAACATATTTCATTTCCAGACAATGATGTCTGCATGCCAGCTTTCTATTTAATATTTTTAATTAAAAGGATATTTAAAAGTTTAAAGTTAAGTGGGGCAGGAAAGCTGGTGAGCACCAAGGTGCACTGGGGGCATCATGGTGACCACCTCTGCCAATCTTAGATATTTAAGAGGCAGTAACAGCTCCTCTGTAATGAGCGATTGACTGATTATATGTCATCAAGTCATTGCTGATTCTTAGTGGCCACATAGATTGATTTTCTCTATGATGATCTGTCCCTAACCTGGTCTTCCAGGTCTTCCATTAAAGCTTATTTCTACACATTGAAAGATACTGTCTTCTTTTTAATACAACATTATCAAGTCTTGTTCTCCCAATGTTTATGTACATATTTTATTTACAACACATTAATTTTACTGACGCCATTTCTAATCGATGCAAGGCTACTCTTCAGGATCTCTCTTCACACGTTAATTAAAGTACTGCAATGGTTCCAGATTAACTAAAGTGCAATGGAGTTATCTAGGGAAACAGATTCAGATGACATGTTGCTGGAGACATGAAAGTGAAAGGAAATAATTATTCCATTAGGACCTCTATCACAGGCTCTCAGAATTCACATAATAGTGAAAACATTGGACATTAGGAAACATACCTTTCTTTTCTTCTCTACCTTTCTTTTTATGTTTTTGCTGTGAAAACTATCACTGCAAGAAGCCATCTAACACAGTAACTGCCCTCATCACCAGATGGAGATAGAGTACTTGGAGCTATTACAAAAGCTGAAAATAATTTGTACCTTATAGCTTTCTCACTGCCCAAAGGCAATGCAATATTCAAGTGTCAAAAACAAACAATAAAACAGAAATATTTTTCTTCATTAACAAACCAGATGGCTTCTTATGCATGAGTCAGGCACTCACAGCAACCATTTAACAACATTTTCACAGCTTGATTGCAAGATAAGTTGTGATGGGTTAAAGCTTGGAATGAGAATTTCAGCAACTATCACAGGAACATTATCATACATGAATTGTGCATTATATTGGTCTGACATAACAGGCATGCAGACCAATATTTATTTATTTATTTATTTATTTATTTATTTATTTATTTATTTAATATATATATAAAAAAATAAAAAAATAAAAACTGGGTGTTAATATTTACAAAAAGCTTTTGTTACAATGATTACTGAAATGATACAAGATAATTATGTACACGATTTATTTCATTACATAATCATTTAGGGCATCTAAATTCCATACCGAGATTGTGTTTTTATTAACTTATTTCTGTGGTTCATTTATCCATATTTCAAATTTATATTTTAAAATACTGCATCACAGCCAATCCCAACAGTTTTTTCAAAACTTTATGGAGTTTTGGGTTTTTTTTTTTAAATTGATAGTTAAAGATTTGTTGAAAGAATATTTTCTGATCAGTTGCTCTGCAACATTCTTACTAGGAAACTACAGTTTCTGCCTTTTAAAAAAGTGGGAGGACATTAGCATAATGAAAGAGTATATGTATAAACACTAGGCCAGTGGAAATCATTGAAAAAGATACTTTTCAAAGAGGATTAACATGGATGAAACACCTTTCTTTAAAGCATCAAAACTGTCAGACTTCAGCTCAGCATGACTGCACATCTAAGTTCATCTCTCTCAAACTCTTTCAGAATTGGCTTATTTGGCAGTAGACTGAGGCATGAGTGGGCTAAACTAGTCATGTTATTGGAGACAAGGAAGCCAGCTAAACAAAGATCTGCATGCTGCAGAATACAAACATCAGAGTCTCTCTATATATGTTCCAGGATTTAAATTCTAGGCTTTTCCCACCCACAGATATTTGGCCTCTCTCTTCAAAGTCAGCTTTTGTTGACACAGTAGGATATAGAAAGTTAGTCTAGGGTACCAAGAAATCAGGAGTCTGGTAGCATCTTTTTTGACTAACACATTTTATTAAATGATATAAACTTTCATGGACTGCAGCTTACTTCACCCGATGCATGGAGTGACTTGACTGATATAAAATTTAAATTGGGATGAGGCAGCAGGAGGAGGAAAGGGAAGACAGGTTGATTATGCTGCAAATAAGGAAAAATGTTATTTGATCCTCCAGGAAAACAATATGCATCTTATCCATAGAAACAAAATAGCTGATTCTTTAGAGGTATGTTTAGTGGTAAATTGAAGTACCAATGGCTCTCCAGATTGTTACTAATCTACAACTCCTAGGAACCCTATTCAACATAGCCAATATTGGAGATGCTAGAAGTTCTAGTTCAGCAATATCTAAAGGAGTATACGTTTCCCACCCTCAATTTAAAGATGTTTGATAGTACATAGAATAGGCAGTCCATTTTCCCCCAGATTAATTAAACCACTTCACAATCCCTGTCCATGTTGGCTGGAAATGATGGAATATGTAGATCAGTGCATCTGACAGAGCACCAGAGTATAGAAGGCTATTCTAGATTGTAGGATTTATTTTATGTTAGCAGAAAGTAAATTGGACTGAAGTCACAACAAGGAGAGAGGGAATCTTCTATGCATTCAGAACTGGAATATGGTGGCATTTTTTCTTCCTGTTCTAGAATTCTTATATTTATCATATATGCTTGCAAACATCTGTCTCCCAGTACCAATCCTCCTCTTCAAAACAGTTCAAAACATTCAACTTCTGATAAATTTGCAAAAACAAGTTTTTTATCCTTCCCTTTCCCAACAAATAAACATGTCAGCAAGGACTTGTCAGCAGGGGTGGGACTGTTTTGATGATTTTAGGCTTAGTCCATAAAGAAATGTTATTTGCCCATGAATAATGTATAATTCATTCTAAGCAGCAGCAAGTTCTGCTTTGGAAAAGCCTTAGAAAGTCTATCACTATTTCTTTTCAGGGAGGCAGAAGAGTGTAGGCAGAAGAATTGCGATTCCTGCTAAGAAGACAAAGGGAAATTTGCTTTGATTCATGACACAATGTCTTATTTGTGGATCAATATAAATCTAATAAATTTTTGTTGCTTTGTTTTGATTTTTTTTAAGCAAAGGTACAAGAAAATACATCTTCCAGCAATAATGCCCTCCTATTTCCTTAATCTAAAACAGAATCAAAACTAAGTTACAAAGACTGTCTCTAAAATTCCAGCAGTTTCACTATCACTGAGAGTTACATAAGGTAAAGCATCTATTAGCAAACAGCCACGTGTTTGTATGTCACATAGAGAGAAATGATGGAATATCTCAGGGATATGAATAGAAGTTTGACTTGAGAAAATGACTGAGCAAAACTAGAAGAATATTTTAGCATCAACAATGCTGTTACAAAGAATGGTCATAAAAAAATACAGAATAAGTCTCCAACCATTTGGAAGAGAATATATTGTTTTATGGACACAGAATAAAACCTGGATAATTTCCATCGTTAAAAAACCCTAAAATAAAATAAAATGGAAAAAGTCAATTCTGAAATAAATAGCATACTTAGTGCTGTGAAATGAGCCCAGATATATGTCCAGCAAATGCTAAAGCGATGCATTTACTACTTGATTCATGTACTTCTCTCTCTCTAGTTTCACACCACAATCAGGGATTCTTCATATGAAATGCAGGAAGACCATGGCTTACTTTTTTCTACGATAAATTCTACACACGCATGACAAATCCAAGCATGCAAAATGTTTAATACCCCAGTTCAGAGATACTTCAGGGACAAAATCCAATTATGAGTTATATGCCACAATAAATAGGGTTCAGCATTTCATAGAGCAATTTATAATTCATAAAAACAATGAAATGTACCTGTCAGATACAATCCGGAGAGCAGATTCCTGTGCTGCCTGCTGGAAGGAAGGGCAGAGATGTTTATTTTATACCACAACTTTTAAAATATGAGCTCAATCAACACTTAAAAAAATGTGTCACCCACATTCTTGTCATGTATCCAAATTTTACAGCATTAACAAGCAATACTAAGTCTATAGCCATACGGCTATTTTCTAGCTACACCATGTAATAAGAGTTTGTTAGGTTAACACCACAGAAATGTTAAAGAATTTACACAGACTTTTAAATCTGAAGAATCCTATTTGGAAGGATTAAAAAAAATGAGAAACTAATTTCCTTCCTTTGCACCATTTCCTTTACCAATTGTTTGCTTAGCAAACTGTGCAAGAATAGCAAAAGCATCCTATGACACAGTTGTGATTAGTTGCCAGTTTTAACCTGGCAAATTTTAACAGTGCTACTTACAGATGAGCGAATGATCCATTGATCATTTACTTTACAGCTAATGCAGGAAATATGTCAGCAAGCAAACCTCTTGCAGGGGGAAAAATTCTCAAAAAATAATAGAACATTCAGGTGTTATCAGTTGATAACTAATTTCCCATTTCATTACTAGTCTTTTTGTGGACCTATTCTCTGGTTTCACTTTATTAACTGTGGATATCCCTAAAATAGGAGTTCTCAAACTGTGGGATCCCAGGGACTGAAAACAATTGGGCATAAGGCTTCACAATTTTTTATTAAATTTGACCAGACATGCAAATGAAGTGGGAGCAATATCAAAACCCACTCCTTGTTTTGCCTGATTAAGCCTGCATCAGACACTGCATACCAGAATTTTAGAATTCCTGGTGATATGCAGATTAAAATGCAATTCTGAAAAGAAAGAAGAATATTTCTTGCCCAACCCTAACCCCAATGAAACATTAGTTTTATTAAGGGGGTGGGGGGCATCATGCAAGTTTATCATTTTAGATGGTGACAATATCATAACATTTGAAACCCCCTGCCCTAGTGGCAATCATGTTGGCTATAGTTCTGGCTATAATTCTGGCTATAGTTCTGGCTATAATTTCATCCATATAGTTCTGGCTATAGTTCTGGCTATAATTTCATCCATTCTGGAATTTTACAATCTCAGTTTATAACAAATAGTTTTTATTAAAAAGTGTCCTATCAAAAAGACATATTATTTTACTTTGCCTTATTGTCAACAATCTGTAATACATTGATTAATGCAGCTGATCCTTGATATTTTTGTTACATTTTATTGCATCCAATGAACTCAGAGTGGCATACCCCATTGGATTTTATGCACGTTCTGTGCAGTACTGTAGTGGCCTACAGTCTCCTGGAGAGTTTCAGGGCTGAGTGTCTCCCTATTCCTGATCTAACACTCATTATGTGTAACATAATCCATATCCCACAGTGCACATAGTCCGAGGAAAGAGGATGCAGCCAGCTTGCTCAAATTCAAGTGGGATGGAAGACCACCTGGAAATGCGAGGTGTTCCCCCTTGAATTCCATGATGGAAGAAATTCAACACACTGGTATACGTCAAAGAGGTATACTACAGAAGCATACCTCCTAACTGATAAGCAGCATTTATTCTTTCTGAGATTCATTTAACTTCTACTCTGTTATTGCCTTTATTACACCTGGAATGCCAGACTCTTCCTCAAATAACAGATAAGGCGTATTTTTGAAACATCCCATTCCAAAATTAGAGATAGGTCAGTCTATTCGCAATCCATTTTAGTTCCACATGCATGCATCTATATTTTAAAAAAACTGCATGAAATACAAGTATGGAAGGCATTTTAAATAATAATTATACATTTCAATATATGAAATATGTATACTGTACTCTTTTTTATGTTAAAACAGATGTGCGCTTTTTTTCAGAATGACAGTTGCACTTAGCTTTTGAAAGGTGTGTGGGGAGAAGTACTCCAAAAATAGCAGGTGGATTCAGAACAAAATGTTATTTATTGCTCTTCAGTATGTATTGAATAAAGCTCACTTTTAATCATGTTAAAAAACAGTAATCTGGTAGTGTATTTTGGAGATCTCTGGGCACTGGCTCTGACCTGAGCATGCACCTCTCTTCTCAAACATACTTTTGTATGCTAGAAAATTCTATGTATCTATGAGGCTTTTTGAATATGAGCTAAGAACTATATTACAACATTCAGAAAAATGTAAAGATAGAAGGATAACATTATTTGTACATTACCCATGGAAGAGTGGATCAAGTTGCTTTGCTTAAAAAAGGAATTCAAACAAAGTCTCATCCATATAAAAATGAATTTTTTTGTTTGCCATGTAGTGTTGCCCCTTATCCCCCTGCTATAATGTATTTTCACCCTTCTGCTTTCTGAGAACCATTAAAAACTGTATTAGGGCATAAGATGTGTCTTTTGATTTAGTTCAACTCCCATTACTTTGGAGCAAACCTTATAATTAATTGGAAGAAGATCACATATACATGATGCAATACCCGTTTTATATGTAACTCAGTACCATTAACTATTCTTGACCGACACAAGAATGACCCTCAACTTCGTTTTCTATGCCCCTTTAAAAAGTGGGCTCAGTTAAGGAAAGGAAAAAATCCCTTCAATAGTTAAGATACAAAAAAATGAGGGACAGGAAACATTATTTCAGATATGACATCACAATTACTGCCTGCAGATTAATGTAGATAAATGGTTGGGTAAAGGTTAAGCAAGTGGAACAGCAGCAAAATCTGCTGTCACCATTTCTAGATCAAAAGTCCTTAGTCTCAAGAAAATTCAGATAATTAATGAACTCCAGTGCAATATTGCTTAATTTCTGCTGTAAGTTCTACAGTACAATACTATTTTTCTGTCCATGCAGTCTTAACACTGCCAGAAGTGTTAATTTTGTCACCATGTCTTATATTGTTTTAGCCCAGCTTCCCTCAGTCTAAAATTTTCCAAATGTATTAAAGTTCAACTCCCAGCAAGCAAAACATTCTGAGGATCATTTATTATTATAGAGGCTGGGAAATGCTTGGTGATTTCCTAAACTGAAAGCAGTATGCTCAACATTGGACATAAAACTGATCGATTACTATACAGTATGACATCACAGTAACATTATCTGTAGACCAATGTATACCCAAACATTACGAATGTTAATTATTTGCTTCACAATCCTGAATAGCTTGATTTTAATTTGAGCAATTGATTTGTGTTTCCTACCATTTTGGCAGCTTTACTGAAACCAGTATATTATCAGTAGCTGTTTTGCAGACTGTAGCCAAAGTCTGGATGTTTTCTGCTACTACAGTATGAAATTACTCTGTAGATAGCCTGTGGTCAAGCCGGCTGTTTTCCTCCAGCTGTAAACATAAGCCCCCACTCCACCATGGCTTTCATTTCCAAAGCAGAGAATCTTCCTGATTGCCTTGCAAGATCCTGGGACTCTGAGCCCAATCAAGAAGGAAGTTGCATCTTCCTTCTCCATGCCATCAGGAGAAAGTAAAAATCTACATGCTAGGCCAATGTTTCTCAATCTTGGCAGCTTCAAGATGTGTGGACTCCAACTCCCAGAATTCCCCAGCCAGCGTTCTGGCTGGGGAATTCTGGGAGTTGGAGTCCACACATCTTAAAGTTGCCGAGCTTGAGAAAAACTGTGCTAGGCACTCAGGCTCTCTTCAATTTTTTTTTTTTTTTAACTTCTGTAATGGGGAAGAAGCCACTGCCCTTTGCAGGTCAACGTTCAATGTTCCATCTGCCCCCGTATGAGTCCAATTTAGATGCTTCAGAATAAGGGGTGGGGGCAGCACCTGCAGTCTGTGTCTACTGTGTTTTAAAAAGCCCTTTGGGCTTTATCCTTGAGCTTTCCTCATTTTTGCAAATCTCTGGGACTCTGTTGTAAGGTTGGCCTTATCCGTACTGACACATTTCCCTCTAGCATGGAAAGAGACTACCATAGGATATTAATATTGCATATAAGGAACTACTGAATCAAGTATTTCACCTGAAACTGGTTGCCCAAATCTCTTTCTGTAGATCAACTGGTTCAAGAAAAAGAACATTGGGGTATATCCGGAGGGAGCAGAAGTCTCAGAGATTAACCTGAACTCCTGCCTGCCTCTATGCTATGCTGTTGTCTGTTCTTCCAGTCTAAAGGGAAGCAACATCAAGGCATTAGTGAAAGGGGGAAGAGGAACGGCAAGCTTTTTTATTTAGATGGTAATTTATAGCTTTAAAAAAAATCCTGAAAATTGGCTGTAGAAGCATGTTGTAGCCATGTTATCATTTGTGATTTTTCATTCAATTCTACAACCTCTTTACTCATTTTTAATATTCAGCATTTTATAGTTACGAATACTCAAAGTCCTTACTGGGTTATTTCTGTAATTCCCTCCACAGGATATTCCTACCATTAACAATTCTGCTATGTTCTTGTGGGTGAGCTATATTATTTTAAGTATACAAGCATTAGCATTCACAGACTGATCACTGGGAACAGAAGGAATTAAGGAATTGTGGTGATTGGGTATTAGAACTGTCACTCAAACAATGGTATATAAGACACCTCCTCCGAATTGATAAAAGAAAGAAAGAAGAAAACGATGAGGAATTTGGGAGGTATGGATAGAAAAACAAGTCTAAGAAAAGCTAGAGTACTAGCCTAAGGAACTGTTTCAACTGTCAAGTTCAAGTGACAGGGTTAGGAATATATATTAATTGCCCGAGAAGCTAAGATTAACAACTTAAAAATATGTTGTAAAATGTAAGTTAATAGAAATTGTCTAGTTGTGAGGGCTAAGAGAATACCCTGAAGATACTAACATGAAGTATACTTTTAACAGAAACGGTTTACTCTCCATTTTAAGTTTTGTAATGAAAATGGATTCAACTCTTCTTTTAACAAAACTAACAAAGGGGACTGTGCTGTTCTATTTCCTCCCCATGTTCTAGCCAGCCACGTTACCTCAGCCATGTTAAGAAACAGAGGAGAGAAACAAAGAATTCCCAAATCAGAAAAGGAACTGGTGATGGCAGCAAAACCAACACATCCATTAGAGATGTCCCTGTGTTAAGGAGATTTCCTTTTGATTTTGAGGAACGAAAGGGAAAAAAGAAGGCATGTCTGCAACAATTAGGCTATGCAACAGGAATCCACGTAAATTCTTATAAAATCAAGGACATAACAGTAATCACACTTTAATCAACATACACGCTTCAATCTAAATTAAAATCTGAGTTGATTAAAAAAAAAAGGCCATTGAGAGCTTGCATAAGTGTGAGAGAGAAGCATGCAAGTCTTTGTGCAGACTAGCATCACGTTGTTCTATACTTTGAACCTTACTTGACTTGGGCTGCTAATGTTGGCATGCACTGCTGTTTGGTTACCGAAGAAAAATACCCGGGCGATGCTTCCTCTCCTTGCTTATAAAAAGAACTCGAGCAATGTCTCCTCAGGGAGAGGAGGCCTTAGGAGAATGTTCTCTGCAGGATGGTTATCCAGTCATGGAAGAATACAACACCTTTTCTTGCACTCCTGCTTCTTGGTTTCCTCTTTCTTATCTGCCACTTGCTTCAGGAGCCCGAGCAAAATCAACTTACTGAGCGAGAGCTGTTTAGTTCAGTATGGTGTGCGGAGACGTTCATGAGCTTGTGAAATTTAAAAGTTATCCTCTCCTCTTGCCTTTATCTTGGCATCCCTTTCTCAATGCTACACAAGTGCTTATTTGGCATAATTTATCATACGCACAGAAAGCTCAATGTCATTACTGCAGAATATGCACTTGACCTTCTCTCAATTACGCACATTCAAATCAAGCCTCTTTGTGTTATACACACAGTGCTACAGAGCGCATATCTGCACTATTTCTTTGGGGCACAGCCATGCAGCAATAGCCACAGAAGAAAGCTTTTAAAAGTAATGAGCACCTGCTGCAAAGGGCAGTGGCTGCTGAGATCATTAAATGTGATCATTAAACTTCATCTTCTATTAAAATCTTGTTAGCCAATTTTAGATGCACTGCAGCTAAGGCTCTATTAATGAAAGCTGTCATAGCTAATCTGGCTTTGCAATGTTGAGATTTTAAATGTTTCACCTTGGGAGTTTTATCAGATAATATGTCCTTAGGGAAGGCTAAGCCTTAGGTGAAGGGGCCACTTTAATATGGCTTGCTAAATTTCTCCTCACATCTTTTTAAAGAAGGTGTTAATGATATTGGTTTGATACCCCGTATTTCATAATACATGCATTTATAAAGCCTGGAAATGTGACTTAAGGTATGTTTGATGTGTGATTTGACATTGAATTATTCTGTTTTTATCTTGGAAAAGCAGTGTGTCTGTGTATAATGTGAACAGGATCAGGGTGCTGGAACATGCAGATAGCGTTTAAGCTCTTTCCTCCAACAATTGCCTCCACCCAAACAATTTGGCTTAAAGCTGCCACATTAACATAGCCACAGTCATGTACCAAATAAAAGACTGGCATTAGAAGCAAATAGGAATTTTCATTAGAGACATGATATAATGAGAAAGAGTTAAACTAGCTCCCTTACTAGAGTTATGATTCTGACTGTGAGTCAGAATCTACAGCTATTACTCAAGCTAAAAACAAAGAAGTAAATTGAGGATCATTCTGTATGTTCTCCCTTGGTTATTCAACCTATATGCTGAATATATATTAAGGGAAGAAGGAGAAGAAGAAAATGAGTGTGGTTTTAAATTTTGAAGAAGAAACATCAATTACCTGCACTAAACTGATGATGCTCAGGTCAAAAATGCAAAAGATCTGCAAGCTCTAGTAATAAAAGTCAACGAGCATAACTAAAATATAAAAAGACCAAACTAATGACAGCAGGTACAACAGTCAGCCTTAGAACTGACAATGAAGATATTGAAGACAGATATGGATGGATGAATGACTAGTTCCTTTTACTGATTCTAAAGATCTCTTGATCAGAGTGAGGCAACTTGAACTTCTCCAGATGTTTTGGAAGTCTCCCATCCTGTCTCTCATTATCAAGACAAGCATGGATGACATAGTGATGTTCCAGAACTTCTGAAGGAATATTACCTACCCCTTATCTAAATACTTCCCACTGTTGCATCAGCAAGACTTTAATGTTATGTTTGTCCCCATAATTTCCCCTGCTGCTACCCAATTCCTTCTTGCTTGACTCTGCCTGATTTCCATGTACTGTATTTTTCCATCATTGATATCTTCATCCTGTTTTCTATGGGAACCTGATGCTACTATCACTTTAATTCTACATGAAATTCTACATGAAAAGTGGTTTGTTTTATTTTGCAAATAAAAGTGCTACATCAGTAGTACTTAGGAATTACATCTTTGGTAACTGCTGTAGTTATTTACCATCCCTACTTGTTTTCAGACCTTGATACCAATAAGGTGGGATAAGATCTCATTTACACATAGTAGACATAATGCATGCCTCATTGGTTATAGACAACTTGTTTGTTCTTAGGAAAGCCATGTTGTAACATTTTCAAAGAGCTTGCTACACCTTCCCTGTCTTATTATTTAAATCATCCAGTGCTTTTTCTTTCCCACACAGCCAGACTTCCAGTTCAGAGGTAGATCTCAAAGGATGTCTTGTGGTTGCTTCTATTTATACAATTTCAACATTTCTTTGGCACAAGCCAAAAGTACATACCAGGGTATTGCCTTTTATGAATCATAGGAGTTGGAGAAGCAAACAGACCGAATGAACTTTGGTTACATATTCCAGACAAGCACAAGGGTTCTATTTAATCTGTTTAAGCTGCTGAATGCAGATTGATTAACTCTGTGGGTAATAAATTTTCACTGCCACAAAGCCTCGGTGGCAAATCTTGCTGCAACACAGGGGAAAGAAAATTCTGCCTACAAACTCATGGTTGTAAAATATGAACATTTCTTTTCACACATTAGATCTTCTGATCATTGCTTATAAAATTAAAATAATAATGTTTAGTGGATGAATGATATTAAGGGAAAATACATTTATATAATCAAAATAAAGGAACTGCAAAATTGTATAGATGCTGTAATTATTACAAACTGAGCAGCCCAATTTTGTTTTCCTCTATTATGACTAATTCCTTATTGTTGAGTTCATATATAGCATTAAACTGTAACGTGGTTTGTCTGGATGTGACTTAGTATGTTGTGTGAATTTAGTCACTGTAGTTAATAACCATGGGTTATGGTTTAACATTATGTGTGCAACCATAATTACACTTTAACTATAAATTGGAGATAGGCACATTGTCTTGAGTTCCTTGAGAAAAGTCAGCATATAAATCTAATGAACTAACAGATATAAAAAAAAATTATGAACAAAATTCAGGTTTCTTACCTGGTCATTCTCCTCTTCATCACTGCTCAACTTGAGGTCATCTTCTAGCATTCTAGAAAACAACAACAGATCTACTCTGGAATTTAATGTAACAATTTAGATGTCATTTAAACCACAGACATCTCTTCACTGTGAGTCATAACTAAAGCTTCAGTTGGTTCAGGGCAAAACTTCAACTGGTCCAGTATCCTATTTCCAATTAAGGCTGTGCACATTTTATTTGGAAGAAGTGCTTTGGACTTTATGCAAGCAGAGCACCTCGCTTTTACTCATTAAAATAGCATGACTGTGCAAACATGAACAAAGATGTCATTGTTTTAAGGAATTTACTTATTAAAATTAATGCAATTCTTAATCAGCAGTATCCTTATTTTCCACAGCAGTGCATGGAAGCCTGAAAATGCTGGGTTGACTTAACAAATAATGCAGAGCATGAAGGCCCTTTTTTTTTCTATCCCTGATTTTAGCAGCTACCATTCAATGGCATGCTCTAAACCTAAAATTTCCATATAGACTTCATTACTAGACATTGTGAAACTCTGCCTCTTAAAGGGTACTGACTTCACTTGGTCTGGTATGAACCATATCTGAAATGCATCTTGGAAAAGTTCCTACTATGAACATAACAATTTACTTGTTTACCTAATATACTTATGAGTCTTACATCATTCAGACATGCTTCAAAATCTATTCTATAAAAAGGAAAAAAATCACAGAAATAGTTTTATTCTATTTATACAATGGGATGTGCAGTCTCTTGTGAATATATATTATCTTGGATCTACAGAAAAAAGCTAATTAAAAAAGTCTCTACATGGGACCCCAGTGTTTTTATGATATTTAATCATGTTTGTATGTATTCCAAATTTCACTTAAATCAGCTATCATCAATACATATTGATGGGGAAATTTCCAGAGTTTTAATGTCAAAGGAATCATCTAATAAAAGTTCCATCAAAAGAAAACCCTCTGATACATTCACATTAAGATTGATCTTTTGGATCTATTAAAACCAAATTGCATTCTTTTATCATATTAAGAGAAGATATCTAAACTGCAAAGCATAAATACTTCATGAATAATGGGTAGACACATGTTTCAGTCTGTGTTAATGAAGTGAAATTTACTGCTATTTTACTTTCCCCATCATGTAACAGATGGTCAACTTTGCCTAATGAATATCTATATTCAAAGCATGCATTTCATTTAGAAAAATCTGTCAACACCATATCAACAGAACTGTTATTTTAAACTTGGTTATGATATCTCTATCACCAAAATAGTTTTATAGACTAGAAAGCTAATGTACATTTTTTCTGTTTAAATGGCCTCTATTACATGTTCTGAAATCACATTGCTTATTTTTATAAATTAAAAAAAACTTAGATGATTGCCAAAATTAAATAGGAAATCAAAAGATTAGGAAAACCTGTAAGATGTTCACTGAAATAGGTGTTGTTTCACCAAAATGATACTAGAAAAGAAGAACTTGCAACAATTTTTTTACTATGCAGGATTGCGGTTCAGCAATTCAGCCAATAAGCCCTGCCTTGTTATTGGTTTTCTGTTCTATCACATACCACACAAAAACACTGCATTTCCACACACACGTGAATTATTCTATATAGAGTTGGTTATGTGAGATGGTTGATGATTATGTGCTATCAAATTGCTATCAATTCTTAGGGACCACATACATACATTTTTTTCCATGACAATCAGTCCCTAACCTAATCCTTCAGGTCTTCCAACAGCGCACCCATTGACATTGCAACTGAATCCATCCAGCTTGCTACTGGTTGTCCTCTTCTCTTTCCTTCCTTCTTTCCCAGCATTAAAGACTTCTCCAGAGAGCTAGATCTTTGCATAATACATGCTATATAATATGTCCAAAGTATGATAATTTGAGCATAGTCATTTGTGCCTTGAGTCAGAACTCTGGGTAAGTAGGTATAGACACATCCCGGCAAGGCCTTCATGGCTGCTCTACCAAGTGCTAGTCGGTAGCGTATTTCTTGACTGCTGGATCCTTTACTGGTGGTGGTTGATCCCTAAAGGCAGAAGCTATTCACCACTTCAGTATCTTCAATGTCAACTCTAAACCTGTTTGTTGTACCTGTTGTCATTAGTTTGGTCTCTTTTTATTTAATTTTCATCCCATTTTTTCACAATGCTCCCTGACTTTTATTACTACAGCTTGCAGATTCTTTGCATTTTTGGCTATCAGAGTAGTGTCAGCAGCACAGTGCAGGTTATTGAGGCTTCTTCCTACAGTTTTAAAGCCACGCTCATCTTCTTCCAATCCAAAGACTAAAAAATCCAAAGACTAAAAAAGCAACACAGAAATGACAACAGGTATTGCCACAAAGGAACTGTTGTCATTCACCAGAAACTTATTTTTGGCATCCATCTAAATATTCCCTCAAAGTTCTTGCAAAAACTGTAAGATTAATTGCTTACCATTGGAGGAAAGAGCCTTAAGCAATAAAGAGTTTCATAGAACTATTTCATTCACCAGTTTGTATTTTGCCCCCTTTAATTCCATTAATTTCTACTGGCAATGATGAATAGTTATTTTGGTAAGCTTATCTGTCTTTAATTTCTTGTGATCTTTTGAAAATATTACTTAATTTTAAAACTGGAAAAGCAGTGGGGAAACATAAACTGCCTACTGCTTTGCTCAATGTGCCAAGCTGTATCATAAATTTCATTGGTATTTACGCTCTCCAGATTTCTGGCCAACTTGTAGAACTTCAGAGCTTTTCAAAGTTACTTTAGAACTTTATCCTTTTTTTAGAATAATAAATATTTTTAAATATTATCACGGCTTGATAATACCTTGAATATGGCAAAATTAACAGAAATGAGAACAGTTACCTGAAATTTTGTTAATCATTTACAATGTTCAGGGTGGACTTTTTTATTTTAGATAGATCTCTGCTTTACTCCAAAGACTCTATAACAAGTTGCCTTCATCTAAATGGCCATGCTGGTTATGGAACATAGAAGTTTCAACTGAACACATCTAGAAAAGACCAGTTGGAGAAACTGCCCTTTAGCCAAACAGAGACACAGAGCTAAAAAACTGTAATATTTATTTATGATTAAACTCTCATGGCTGTTTATAATAAATAGGGTCAAATAATTGAAATTACATGATTGCTTGAATAAGTCACAGCTTTTATAAACAGAGATAAAACTGAAGAAAGTGCTAGATAATCAGTATGAGAAATGGATCTTTAAGAAAATTGGCATTACATATGTCCTTAGAGCAGGAATAGAGAATTTGGTATCTGTGAGAACCAGTTCCCTCAGATTCCTCTGTTGAGGCCCATCAGGTTCTTTGGCCAACCTGATTTTTAAAATATTATTTTAAACAAAAAAAAAAAAAAGGCTCCCTGGCATGCTGCAAAGTAAAGTACCAATCTCTAGCATCATATTTACTTACAGTAATGATTTTCGGTCCCACAGAATTCCTTTGGGGATAATAAAAGCATTCTGGAGACGGGGGTAGTTCACCTTCTGGTGAATAAGTACTCTGAGACTGGCCATGCTCACCATGGTTGTCAATCTGTGAATAGGTAAGATTACTATGATACCATTTTATGAGTGTGCTCACCACATGTTCTCAAAATTCCAAATGTGCTTCCAGCACAAACACGTTGCCTAACCTACCCCTGACTTAAAAATAAAGCATCTGAATATGTGTATGGCTGATTGGAACTGTAGCATGGTGGGCTCACAAGAAAAAGGGTACCAAGCAAAGACAGGTTAATGAAAAGTCAAATGTCAAAAGATGGAACGAGATATAACCGTGCAGCCTTCTGAAAACAGAAGAAAGGAGTTGATGCTTCGTGAAAACAAAAGGTAAAGTCTATTGAAGAAACTTAAGATAGGCTTGATACAATCAAATCAACAAAAAGTCCTGAAGCACCTTAAAGATTTGCAAGACGATTTCATTAAAACAGAATATGACCCTAAGAAAAGATGTTAATATACCCATACATATACACACAGTGATTGGCAGAGGGATGGTCGGGGCTGTTTTCCAACAGAATTCTCTTAAGAATGACCACTTTGAAGTCAGTGACAGAATATTCTGAAGTGTTGATTTTGCTACTTCTGAGCTACTTTGTCTACCCATAAGTGAAGTGTGGTATTGCTGAATAAGAAAATGTATGGTCCTCTGATAGTCTAGGTGTCGTTGCCAGAATAGATATGGGATCAGGGCTGGTAGTCGCATCAGAGAGTGTCCGATTCCTGAATGTGTGCCTCTGTAGCATGTCCTGTTGTTTGATAGTAGTTGTTTAAAGTTTGGTAGCTGACTGTATGCAATTACAGATCTACCATTCAAAGGCCTGTAAAAGGGAAACACCATTCATTATCCATAATGGGCTAGAGATTACAGTGACATGCTTCAATGATTTCAATTTGGAAGTGTAGGTGGCAACAAGGATGTTATGTATTTTTTTTTCTTCTGTGTCATATTGGACGATTTCAGGGGAGTAGGATAATTGTGCTGACCTGTTTTTAATTTAACTGGGTGGATACTCTAAGTGGGCACTGATCTGATGATGGCATGGGAAAAAATGTTAAAATCCTAATGGACTTGCCTGGTGCTCTTACCCATGAATCCAGCATATGGTCTACAAATGGAGTTGGAGATCCAAATTTCATATCACACTACAGGTGTTACACCAGTTTATGAATGAAGGAATGTTTGCATCACACCTAACTATTGGTCACTATCTATAAATGATTAACATTTGCTCTCCTTCCCAACAACACACTCCTTCTCCCATGTCCTTATTTGTATGTGTGCATATGCATGTATACACACACACACACACACACACACACACACAAATAAATAGTGGGCTTTGATGGCCTTGGCACACTCATCTTTTTGATCCTGTCTGCACCTGAAACAGTGTTACTCTGAAAAATGCAATACTCAAAACTTCCAAATGTTCTTACTGTGCAGAGTTTGTCAATTTTTATAGCCCTGGTGATAATTATCCATGTTGTTAAATATCAATAACGTAGAGATGA